TTTGGAAGTTCCACCCATTTACGGAACACAATTTTCCAGCGATGAGGACTTCTCCCTGCCACAGCACAGGAGTCCATTGATGGGTATAATTTTAAGGGAAAATAAGGGAGCATTAGCAGTCACATTTTCAAAAGATACTTTATACAGATTTCAAACTCCTCAAAAAAAGAGCACTCTCAACAAAGCGACAACAAAGCAGAAACTGCGAGGCTGTTAAATGCATGCAGGTACGCCAAGGAGAACCTTTAGACCTCCTGGCCTGACATATTAATACAGACTCCTAACTTCTTTAGTGAGAAATAAATGACATACATACATAGAGGTCACTGCTGTATCAAGATTATACCCAGCGCGGTTAAAAACTACACAAAATTATACAAGAACCTACAAAAAAAAAGTGTAACTTTTCAAATTTAAAAAAAATAAAAAAGTACAGATTTAAGGCTACGGTCTACGATATGAAAGAATTATTGGCGAAAAAAGTTTGCACAGTAAATTTGTGGGACGCTAAAGGAGAAAACAGTCCTGCCAAGCATGGAGAATATTTTAACAGCATGGTCTTTTTCCCATAAAGTCCGTCAGCAAACAAACAGAGGTCAAGGCCATTCATAAATTCTAAAAATAATATTTACCAGACCTTTATCTCTCTGGCAGGTATAATTCTGATAAGTGACTATTCTAGATAATATTTAACATAAAAGTTTATTTACAAAAATACTTGCAATAGCCTGAAATCAGATTTTAACTGGAATCACCCATTCAAGTCAGTGAAGGTTACAGGTAAATGAAGATCACGTTGTCAGGCAGTTTTTTTGTTTTGGGTTGGGTTGGGCGGGGTGGGTTTTTTTGGGGGCTGATACAAGCAGGGCCTATGAAAAAAATGTCGATCCATGTGAATGGCTCAGGAACAGAGAGGTATAAGAAGTCCCTAAAATGTTGTCAATGTTTGATCAAAGATTTGACCATAAACCCTAAGAAGTCAATGACGGTCTTTCGACTTCTTTTAACAGATATAAATTACACTAAAATATCACAAAACGCTGTTTTGAAGAGAAATCTCCTTGTCTGCATGACAATAATCGAAATATCATTATTGACAAAGGTATGTAATTTATGTTAAAATAGTAAACTTTTTTTAATAATAATACATCAAACTTTGTGAATTCCTCCCACATTGGATTACACTGACGGAAAAAACTACTGTCGGACTATCAGCCCTCCCTTTCCACCACAACTGCTGAGAAAAGCGAGTACGTACGTGCACACACATGAGTTCATACGGAAATTAGAGGGAAAAGGTCCATTTGCAGAAGAAGCTTTAGGTAAGAGCTAATGCAGCAGAAAGGTCATCCTCCTCAATTCTTACTGTTGTTTCAAGCAACCATGACATTTTCCTAGGCCATTCTGAAAATTGCATAATTGGCATGATCATCAGGCTTAGGCTGGTACCATGATTCAGATGAACAATCACCTTAAAGTGAAATCTTATCTGGATTCTTAGCGTAGGTTTTCATCAACGACATCACACGATCACACACAACTCCTTTTTCAAGCCCACTTTACTATTATTTAGTTCAGAAACCATTATTTCTTAGAAATTACATTCACGAAGAGGGGACCTATACACACAAACAGACAGGTACGATTCACCCTCTTATTAAAAATTAAACACATAAAAATCTTTCAAAAACAAAGACATGTTCTGCATGCATGCTAGCAGAAGAAAAACATTTAAAAGGGAATAAGGGAGCTTGGTTTTGCTTAAGAGGCTCTCGCTGCCCAACCACCACAAGTTGCAATGTTATAAAGAAAGTTACCACCAAGTAACTTAAAAAGAACCACAACTGTGGACATCTAATAAAAGTAACTGAAGGAGAAAAAGAGACATGTTCCAGTTGACAGTGGGCACTTGGTCAATAAGGTACAAGGCATTTTAAATGCCTGAACTATGTTTATTAGACACTATCAGCAAGTGTAATTGACTCAAGAAAGCTGATAATAGGAAAAAAAACCCCACACTAGTTTTTTTACAGTAATATTCTAAAGATTCATTCTCAACGTGAAAAGTCTTCTTCATTCCTGGTCACCCACTCCTTTTCACCATGTAAGGTGCAAGTCAGAAGCAGTCTAAAAAGGGTATGATGTGGAGCTTCAGAAAATAACGCTGCCAAAACAAGACATATTCAACGCTGGCCATCTATTGGCTTTAGAGAATCACAGAGCCGATTTTTTCCCTTTCACCTTAGCCTTTGCTTATGGCCATTTATATTGCAGAATAAGCACACCTGAAAAAAGACGAAGACTTAGAATACCAGAAAGTTTAAAATACTGCAGACTTTAAAGGGTTAATCGCATTCTGTAGAAGTTTGCAAACCATATGATGTCTGATATGGCTGAGGCATCGGGGGGAAAAAAAAAACCTGACTGGAAGTAACAAGGATGTGGTTTGGATGTAGAGCATGGAGGGGCGATGCTGCTGTTCTGACAACATGAAGGAAGAGATACTTTGCAATCCCCATTCCATGCTGACATGGGACAGCTGAAACCCACCTTGGGACGTCAGGTCTGACATGGTTTTAAACTACGAGTGCTTTATCACAGCACTTTGGAGCATGAACAAACCTGCACATGATTTCGTGTTTTAGCCGGCAGGCGGGACAGAAATGAAGAGAAAAATAAAGACCAATTCGAGGTTCATTAACAAGAGCGAGCTTTTACATGTGTGACATCCTAGGTTGAGTCTTTACGACTTGTCTCATCAGCAGACAAGTATCTCAGCAGGCACCTATGCATTCAAATCCCTACCGCTAAAACGATCCCTACGTGAATTTACCTTGACACTTGTAAGGGCTTTGCACAGGTCTCCAGCTGCACCTGTTAGCATAAAGCCACTGCCAAGCAGATTAAGAGCAACATTTAGTTAAATAATGGGGCTGAGTTAAGAGATTTGAGATGATGACACATGTCCTAATCTGAACTACAGATCAGGATGCCTGAAGTGTCGCAACCTTGCAGATCTCCATCACCTGAACACAACTCCACACGTGCAGCAATAGCTCTGAGCGCTAAAAATTTCAGGATTTCAATCCTGCAAGGTAACAGCTATACTCACCTGCATATCTCACCGAGATATCAGCCTAGAGAACAAAGACAGAAAAGTCTATCAAGCCTGTATCACCATCGAGCCAGATGACACAGATTAGCCATTTACTGGTCTAGATGTAAATAGATGAGAAGAGTTACCCTGGACTAATGCCAGGTCAGAAGACTCCTTCAAAACCCTTATGAGAAACCGTCATTCAAAACGCAACTATTGATGACAACCACGCTCCCACCAGCACTCCCCTGTCTATTGTGCCTGTCCCGACAACAGAGGACAACCTTGACTCAGCGCAAGCAGCGTTTACTCACACAAGAGCTCTCACAGCTGGCAGGAGCTGCTTACCCAAGTAACAGTTCTTTAAACGCAGTAAAATATTGGGTCTTTATTTTCAGGCATCCCATCAGTCTTCTGGGGAACTTTTCTTACTGTACAAATAATGCAATTTCTGAGAATTTCATCAGGTACAATAACTAGAAAATAGTAACTTCATCTTCCTTCATCCAAGAAAGTACATTTAAGCCAAGCCTGGATGACAACACACATCCAGCTACATGCAAAGTTCAGCATGAAGGTGGGATACAGCCCTTTCAAGCTGAGAAAGATGTATCGAGAAGCGCATTCTTTAGAGACCGTATTTGAAACGGCCAAAGAAAAAGTGAAGTATGGCTTGCAAAATAAGGAGGTTGTAGAGGTAACAGAATGGAAATATTTAAAGTCTTTTTTTTTTTCCCTCCCAGGTAGACACGCTGTTTTCCCTCTTCAAAAGCACCATTATTTTAGGTAGTATGGTCTTCATTGCAACACTATTTTTTTCAGAAATATTTAGCATCATACAAACACGGAAAACACTACACATCCTCTTCACCCCACTCCAAGAATGAGGCAGACGTTTCATTCACTGAGGGCAGCTGTCTATCTCACGATGAGAAATAAAGCCTTGAGAAAGGTAAATAAATTCTGTTACTGGTTACTTCACTGAGCTTCAGCACCAACCTTTGGTAAGCTTGTCTGACACACGAAGAGGCCATGTAACTATTCTTACTCAGTCACACCGTCAGATGCGCTTAATAACTTGTAATATTGACTATGAAACTAGCCAATTTACGGAAGTAAGCGTCCTTCATGAGATACATGAACACCTGTTTGCTGAAGTACGTGCTTCCACGAACCAGCCAAGAAACACAAATTCAAGCGACACTTGCAGATTTCTCTTCCACCAAAAGTGAGGAGATCAGTTTATCCATTTATCCCTTTCAAATGCATCAAGTTTTAACAGCCCTCCTCCTTCTGGAGGCATTTTTCTATATATACAAACCAAATGTTCCTACAGTTAGAATACAGAAATAATATGTTGCCACGGGCTTGTAAGGTTTAGTTTTCAAACTTAACCAGTTAAAGTCCGGTGCAAACTTCTAACCATGCATCTTTACAAAAACAGATTCCCCACACTACAGTTTTCTTATCCTCATTGCAACATTTTATCCAAGGTACAACACATGCAAGCATCAGCTAAGAAAGAATAACCATTATAGGACACACGAGAGCAATTTTACTAAGCTCTCATTATGGGAAAAACAACATTTATAGTAGTAAGAGCTCATAAACACACTAAAGCTACACTTTCAAGTCTAATAACAATAGAATATAATATGTTCTTTTTAAATATTAAAGCCAGCGCTTTGTTTTTATTAAAGGCAGAGTAAAATACAGCAAGAAACCAGCAAATCTAGTGATAAGAACTGAAACGCAAACAAAGAATTATGCATCAGCTTGAGAAATACCGCCCTGGTCCCCATTTTAATTCACGTCTTGTTTGTTTAAAGCAAGGGAAGAAGGAAAAAAAAAATAAAAAAGGAAGGGGGGGAGGGGGGGGAAAAAAAGTAATTTGCTGGCTCACCTGGACACGTTTTCTGGAATGTACTCTAGAACTGGATACCCATCACTTCTTCTGGATGCCAACTCCGAATGTGACTTCCAGGTCTCCACTAGCGTGCTGACGGGAGGGAAGGAGCTCAAGTGCTGAAACGCCTGTTCTCGAGCAACCGGCCGCGACAACGATATCGTGCCTTGGGCACCGATCCTGTAGTGAAACGACTGTCCACCTGAATTTACACCCACAATGGCAGAGGATGGTATACTGTTTTCTTGGTAATAGCTGCCATCGTCAGGCTCCTGCTTAATTCCCACACGTAGGCCTGGATTTGGAAAACCGCTACCTTCGCAACTTCCATCGAACGAAGAAACAGGTGGTCCTAAAATCCCAGAAAGAGAGTAATAGTCTTTGTCATCCATAAAAGAAAAATATGAGCCATCTGTAAATGGGAAAGGGTTTACTGTTTGATTCCCTTTAAAAGAGGCACCAGAACAAGGATGCTTGGCCGACTCTTGCTTCACTGGTACTGAAAAGGGGGAATCGGAGCTTATTTTGCTGCTGTCGCCAATGCACGCGCCACCGAACGAACCGTCGGGCTCCGGTTTTATGAACTGAACGAGGTTCATCTGACTGCTGTTGGAGATGGCACTCTCCATTTCCTCCATCTTAGGAAACGTGAGTTCTTGAGCACCCTTGTCTTTCGTTTCTGGACTGGGAACGGTATCTTGGCTTCTGCTAGGACCCGCCGACGTGCCAGAAGCCGGGAATCCTAGGGAGTTGTTTATGGGGCTACAGATGGACGATCCCACAGTGCTAACCGCTGGACTAGACCGGGTAGACCTATTATTGGCATTGGAAGGGCTGGCAATGGAGCTCCTCGAGTTCAGGTTCGCAGGACTGGACACAGAAGATCGCATAGTGATATTACTGGGACTCGAGACGGGAGATTTCACGCTGCAATGACTGGGAGGACTAGAAATCGGCGATTTCATGCTACTTATAGGGCTAGAAAGCGGAGACCCGACGTTGCTAACGTGCGCGGGACTGTGCAACATAGACCCCCGGTTTTCAACGTTTGGCGAGCGTGACAGAGGGGTGCCCTGGCCGATGGGGCTGTGGACAGCAAAGTTCCCAAAGTTCGCAGTAGTTGAGGACACAGAGTTAACTCCCGCAGGACTACACACCGAGGAAGCCATGTTCTGCGGGCTGCAGCCCGAAGGGCTCTTCTCTTGACACATGATCGGGCTTTTGACGATAGCATGCATGGCACCGCCGTTCACAGCGTTCCCAGAGTCCGACATCAAAGACCTCAAGGGCCTGTTGGTGCCATGAAGGGGAGAAGAGCAATGGCCGTTCTCCTTGTAGAGCTTCACCAGCTGCTCCACGTTCTGGTAGATCTTTCCCGGGCTCCCCTGGTTCTGCTGATCGTAGGGGTAATCGGCGTCTCGTATGGAATCCATATATAAACCCATGGATTCGGCCACCGTTGCCGACAGCTCCTTCGACTCCGTTTCGGTTTTGATGTCGGAGGGCAAGAGACCAGGCTGACTGCTGTCTTGCTGCAGGCAGGAGAGTAGCTCAGGTTTGTCTTTGCCGTTGCCTTGAGCGCTGCTGTTCGCAAAAGCGCCGCCAGCGCAGCTCACGTTTACAACCTCCATGTAGTTACTGTCATCAGTCTGCTCCCCAGCACCTATAGAAGAATACTCCACAGACTGAGAAACTTGACCCCACCGTCTCTCCATATCTAAGCCTTCTGGGTAGCTGTGGTATCCTTTTGTCTCCATAACTAGCAAAAAACATATACAAAAAAAGTAAAATTAATAAGTGACAGGACAGTGTGACTTCCTAAGGAAATTTCCTAATTTCCTACGGAAACAAGGCGTATCCGCCTCACTCTGTCTATCCTCCTCTCCGCCTGCCTGCCAGCCCCATTTCCCCGCCCCGTCCATCCTCTCTCAACCATTTGTCCAATTTCAATCAAACCGAGGGAAAAGGTCTGATGGCTCCGCCAACCCTATGGATTCCAAGAGAAAAACCACTCAGCAGTTAGAAAAGACCCAAATTATTGCTCCCTGCCCTGCCCCAAAAAAGAACGGCTCGGCAACGTCGGCACAACCATCGCCCACCCACGCCGGCCGCAGCCCCTCACCCAGGGACTTGGGAGGGGAAAAAGGGAAGGGGGTAGCAAGGAAGGATGGGAACCAGAGCGGCCCTGAAAGGAGGACACGTTCGTGCTAGGCAGGACATAAACCCCGTGGAAATTCCTCATCACAGCTCCGCTCCGCCAAGGAAGACCTTCGGCTGCCGCGCTACGGGGACAGCGAAGCGAGGGAGGCTGATGTGCTAAGAGGGTTTCTCTTCATCACCCAGCGTTAACACGGGACGCTTTAGAAGGAAGGGGCAGCTCTGAGGGGCCGGGAGCCGACTTGCCCCCTCGCAGCCATACAAACCACGCGTACGGCCACCCGAGGAGATGGGAAGGACGGGCTGAGCTGGGAGAGAAGCACTGCAAAAGTTGACTGGGAAACGTTTCTGCCACAGAAGAAGGGGATGAGACTAGGCGGAGATGCGTGGCTACTAAATGGATCCGTAATTCTCCAAACCTCCATGGCAGCCAGCAAGAGGAATAGATAAAGAAAAGTAAATCTTGTTCTAAAATGGACCTAAACCCCCCGCTCCTATCCCACGTGCCACTCTCTCGAGGCAGGAACCAAAATGTCTGACCTGGCTTCCATTATTCTGAAAATCACATGTAAGCAGCAACAAGTAACAACAATTTTGAGGATTTTTTTGTTTGCTTGTTTGGGTTTTTTTTTTTTAAGAAATTGGCTCACAGCATCATCAGAACTGTAGAAACTCAAGTGCCAATAGTTACAGTAACAGCATAACACAAATATTTTTTCCTTTCAGACGGTATTAACTTCCCAATATTTAATTTAGTGTTTAATCCCTTTACTTCACACTACTTAAAAACGCTATTTTAAGCAAAATTATAAAAATAAAACAAACTTCACATGAATGACTCAAATACTTCTTTGCCCTTACTTAGAACCATGGCCCTATGCCGACATTCCCCTCAAGCATAAATTTTATTAGAACATCATCACGTGTATCAAATCGCATTCCTGTAGTCGAAAATTTTCAGACAGAAGCACCTACTTTCACATAAACTCATTCCCAGATAATCACCTACCCCTGATTTAAGGGCTGAGCAAGCCTAATTCCTAGAGAAATCAATTGCAGCTGTGAGTGACCAGCATTTCTGAAAACCAGGGAACTTAGTTAAGGTTTAAAATTAGGACGTAAGTGAATTTTAACCCTCAGAACCACCAGGAAACTGTACCAGGAAATCTCAGTTACAGGCCTCACGTCACACTGGCGTACGAGCTGTGTAGCAACCTCTCCCACGGCAGTAAATTTCAAACTTATACATACTCAATAGGCAAGCAGACTTTAAAACTTCAGCGAATAAAAATCTGGGTCACACAAAAGGAGAAAAAAAAAAAAAAAAAAAAAAAGAAAAATGCCCTGGTCCTGCACTTGCAGAGAGAGAGGCACTGTCTGGTAAATATATCCGAGAGGATCAAAAAACAGCAGAGAGATTATCTGTGGCCTGATACAAGTTCGGCTTAAAATGACAGCTATAAATTAGTAAGAACGCAACAGCAAAGAGGTTTTTGGGGAGCGGTGGTTTCTGTCACCTCCGAGCGCCTCGGTGGCTACTAGAACCGAATAATCGCCTGACAGCGTAGGGGTTTGGCTTGGTTCTTTTCACCAGGACTCACTCCCACCCAACGAGCACCGTTATCCGCAACACCCGCACTTCACCTACCGCACGGACATGCCTTTTCACTAACTTTCACTAAGTGAATTTGACTGTGGGCTAAAACATCCACCGACCACACCACCAGCCGAGTCGTCTTACATCTCGGAACCGAGACCACCTCCATCTGGTATTTCGCAGAAGGAAGCTTATATTATGAGCACGGCAGTGTCTCCAGGACCCCCCCCCCCAAGACATCCTCGGCCACTCCGAGTTAGGTATCGCACCCCCAAACACATCAACAAACACAGCCCCCTGCAGTACCAGTCTCTGATCAATCAGGCGTGAAACCAGTTTCGCAGCAACACTCAAATAAAAAAAAAAAAATAAATCAAATGGTACCTGGTATCCCTGCAACC